AGATCCAAGAACTAACCACAAAGCAGGTGCTCTTTTACCCAGATCAGAATCCACCTGTTGAAGACGTCACACACTGGCTAGAGAGTGTGGGAAGTGTGATAGAAATTGCCAACTTCTCCTAATTCAGTTCAACACACACACACACACACACACACACACGCGCGCGCCAAACTTTTATCATGCTCCAGGCATTAGCCTTGAACTTAGGATTCAGCAAGCAAAGTCAGATTTCTACCTTCTTAAAAATTAGAATCTGGCAAGTGTCAGACATTAAACAATAATTAAATAGCCCTCACTTTGCACCAGGCAGAATTCTAAGTACTTTACTGAACTCTCTCATTCAATGCTCACCACAACCATATATGTTAGGAATGATTGCTTTACTGAAGAGGAGTACATTGTCTTATCTGTCTTGTTTACTATTGACCGCTCTACACCATGCACAGCACCTAGTATAAGTAGATGCTCAATAAAAAAAAAAAAGTCCAACACTGAATGAGTGCTTGAAAAGGGGAGGATAGTATTGAGACTCCATAGAAAAGGATTTGACCCATTCTGTCCCTGAAGATGTGCCATTTTATTTAAGACTTGAAGAATGAATAGGAATTTGCTTTGACTTGAAAGTGAAAACATGAGCATCCTGACTAATCTTAAATAAGGCAAATTTTTTTCATGGGATTTAGTTTCCTTCTTAGTAAAATGAAAAACTGTAATAATGAAACTTCCCCCAAAGGAGGTGGTAAAAACATGTTAAGAGAATTATCAGGATAACCTACCCCAAAACATGGACCCCAATGAGAGCAGGCAACAGGAAAGGTACTAGGAGAAACAGACAGTTGGGAAGCCTTAGGACTGTGGGTCCCAGGGCAGGGACTCCAACTAGGACTTTTTTTTTTTTGGTACTGGGGATTGAACCTGGGGTACTTAACCACTGAGCCATATCCCTATCCCTTTTTAATATTTCACTTAGAGATAGGATCTCACTAAATTGCAGAGGCTGTTTTTGAACTCATGATTCTCCTGCCTCAGCCTCTCCAGAGGCTGGAATTACAGGCATGTGCCACTGAACCTAGCCCATCTAGGACTTTGCAGGGCAGAAGCGATTGCTTCTAGTCTCCCAGGAGGTCAGTTGGAAGGAACTTGGGAGTAGCGAGTTCCATAGCACAGCACTCAAGAAATTCTCAATTAATTGCTTTTTTGCTCTTTGATAGCAGAACCTGACATGCAGAAATCACATGGGAGAATTACTTGTCTCTAGACTCTGCTTGGTCAGACTCTAGGAACCTTCCCATGTACCACCTAAAATGGGTCACTTTTATCTTTCTCCCTTCCTGGGTTCCAGATTTCCCTTTCAGAGACCTCTTTCTGCTCTTGGTCCCCACTCCAGGCATCTATGCCACTGCCTTAAAAAGACCCCATCCTTCTCCTGGTGACCCTCCCTTCTCTGCAATGACACTAGGAATATCAGAGGGCAATTCCAATGGCGTGTTAATGACTGCTAACTCTTCATTTGCTCTGTCTTCCAGTGAGATAACTGCCTTTTAAGAGAAGCCATTTGTAAATAATGCTTAAGGCAAAAGTGTAGGTCTCTAACATTGACCCTTGGGGCTTTTTAATCCAGACCTTCTTTCTGCTATTAAGAATAGGTACACCTTTAGAACAGGGATGATGTCGTACATGCTATGTCCCCCTCTCTATGCCTAATGCTGATTAAGTCATCTGAATGGCCACAAAGAGTTGGATACAAATGGTAAGGTACATGTGACTTAGGATAGAATATTTGGAAAAGTTTCCATCACCCTGACTCACCCAGGCAAAGCATGGAATTAAACTCCAGAGATTCTCAGATTCAAAGTAAGAAGCCTCTCGTTATTCCCAGAGAGTCAGAATCAATTGGCACGGGGGCTGTTAGATCTGCATTCTTCAAAGGTGCACCGGGTGATTCCAGAAACACAGCATCTCCTTTGGATAAATTATCATATCCTCCCAGCCGGTTTTCTCCTCTGCAAAATGGGGTAACTGAGAAGATCAAGAGAAAATAAAAGATGAGAAAGACATTGAAACTATTTGATACAGTGCAGACTACCTGTGTCAGATTCACCTCCCCAAGGATATTTTTCATTTGTTTTCTGGCCCCCCTGCCCAGTCTGCATTTGCATAGCTGTGGTGCATGGGGCTGGCACAAAATTGGTCATTTGAAGCTTGGATTGGCCAAGACCTCTTTGATTAATGGTTTGCAATGGACTTACTAATTTGGGACTTACTAGCACCATTGATCATTTACTTCTTTTTTTAATATTTATTTTTTAGTTGTAGTTGGACACAATGCCTTTATTTTATTTATTTATTTTTATGTGGTATTGAGGGTCAAACCCAGGATCTCGAACACACTAGATGAGCACTACACCACTGAGCCACAACTCCAGCCCCATTAGTCATTTACTTCTAATGGAGGGGACAGGTTTTCATTGATTTGTTTTGTATTTGCTTAATTTTTGCTTTTATTTTTTTTTTCATTTGAGAATCATTATGGGAAATACTATTAATGAGTATTTTTTAATATTTATTTTTTAGTTGTAGTTGGACACAAAACCTTTATTTTATTTATTTACTTTTACGTGGTGCTGAGGATCGAACCCAGGGCCTCACATGTGCTAGGCTAGCGCTCTATTGCTAAGCCACAACTCCAGCCCCATATTAATGAGTATTTTTTCACTCAGAAAATACTTACTCAGGAATGCCTACACAGAAAATACTCACTCAGAAAGTATTTCCTAAGTGCTTGCTGTTTACTGAAGACTGAAATATATGAAGTTGAAGTTTGTCTACTCATGAATTTCATGCCTTTGTTTGATTGATCTATCCCACTTCATGATAAGTTCAAGTTTACTTCATTTGAGCTATGAAGACCTCTACCAAAAAAAAAAAAAGGATAAATATCTTCCAAATTCTTTTACCTATAAATATTGAATTATCCATTCAGTGTTTCCTGAATATCTACTTTTGTACCAGGCACTGGGGTAGACACTAGTTATACAAAGGTGAATTAGACATGGATATCACTCTCAAGAAAGTTATAATTTCACTGTTTAGCTATCACAGGTAAGTAATTATAGTAGTATACTGTGATATTACTGTTATAGAAAGTAGTAATTAAGCTTATAAAGCACTTACTATATGTTAGGAACTGTGCTAAGTTTATATTTTACCCTTACAATATTATGTAAGGTTCTATTATTATCCTTATTAGCCTGTAAGAAGGCTTACAGATGTTAAGAAAGTTGCCCAAAACCACACACACAGTAAATCAGTGTTAAAGGTAGGATTCAGTCCTGACTATCTAACTGCAGTGCACCCCACTTTAATCACACCCCACCTTCATCTGCTCTTAGAGAAGCTCAGAGAAAGCCAACAACAACCTTTAGCAACTTGGTAGCTTATCCAATACCTACATCCTGATAGGTGTCGTATATTTATTCTCGTTTCTTTCAATAAGACATGAGGCTGACCTTAATATTATCCCCATCTTACAATTGGAAAAACTGAGGCTCACGGGTATTAAAGTTTGGTTCACATCTATCCAACCAGTAAGCCAATACCTTGGGGTTCAGGCTTGTGTTAGAATGACCCCAAAAGCTCACATACTTTCTGCTCTACCTCACAGCTGATCAGAGGTTAAATGTGAAGCGTTCCTGGGGAAGACTCCTCAGACACGATCTCCTTCCCTGAGTTTGAGATCACTGACATAACAAACCACAGTGCAGCTGAGGCATTGTGTAAGCAGCACCTTACTTGGGACGGCCTTACCTTGTTGGGCCTGTGGGTTTAAGGAGGGTTTAGCTTCTCATAGGACTAAATGGCCTGGCTCTGCCAACACAGAGTGGCAAAGTGGTGGAAGAGTCGATTTGCATTATCATGCCTGGCCTCGTACTGTAATTACTTTGTCTGTCTGTCTTGGGCACATCAACACATTTCTCCAATGCTAAGTTAGATATTTTTGTAAAGGAGGGAGCACATAAAAGCTTAAAAATGATTCTATTAGATTTTCAAGCCACACTTGTATTTTTATTTTATTTTTTAAAATCCCACTCAGGAATATTAGTTTTCTTTACAGACCAACTAAATCATTCCCTTGTGCCTCTGAATGCAGCGCAACAAACTCTTCGTCATATACAATAGTGCCTCTTTCTCTTCATCATGTACAATAGTGCCTTTGATGGAACTTAAAATCCCCCACTGAAGCCCCATGCTGGCTGGCCTTCCACGGACCAGGTTTCCAAAGTCATTTTCTTTCATGGGATAAAACCAAACAACCCCCTCACCCCAAATTACTTGTAGTTGGTGATTGATCATATTCTTTAATAATCCATTCTCTCTCTCTTTCTTGTTCTGTCTCTCCCTCCCTCACTCCTTCTTGCTTTCTCTCTTAATCTCAGTGGGAGTTGGGAGTAAAGTTGTTCAATCCTTGGATCAACTTCATTTTTCATGTTTTGTCTGCCATCGGGGTCCGTGGGTTGATAAAGGGTCAGTTCCCTTGGGTTGTCTCTTCTCTCGTGTTGGGGCTTTATATTCTTACAGAGAGCAACTTGGAACTAAGTTACTGCTTCAGCATTAGGGCTGGCATCGTGGAGCACAGACTCTGTCTGTGTTAGTCCTCTGTCACCGACTACTCTACCCAGCTTTTGGCTTCACCTAAATGATAAATGGTCCTATTGTTTGAGCTTCAGTATTAAAAAAAAAATAGAACTAAATCTAGATTGAGCAAGGACAGAGACCCATTTCATTGCACTGTACTTTAATATTCCTGAGATCCATGCCATTACGGGTGGCTCCTTTTAACAGCCATCTCCCTCCAGGGCAAACACTATGCTGTCTTTGTTTCATCTGATCTTTCAGCTAAATAAGAGATGGTCACTTATCCTCACTACTCCCATATCCTGCTGGATTTCTATTGCTAAAAGAGGAACTGACCACACGGGGAAAGGTAGAGGTTTCAGGCAGAGCATTTCAGCGTGTGTTTACAGGCAGGACCGACTTACTCAGCAAATCCTGCTCGGAGGAGCTGCAGCCAATGAAGAGGCCACATCCCGGCTTGCTTGGGGGCTTCTGAGTTTGAGCTGCATGCAGAAATGTAAGGCAGTGCTTCCTGGCTCTGATGGCAAAATGGGACCCATCTCCAGTTATTCCTCGGGCTCCCCAGCTTTGCAGATCTGGGAGAGAACCTACATAAACATATTGGTGATGTAGCCAGCTCTGAAGACCGGGAGAATCCTTATGGATTCAGGAAACTGGTTTTTTATTTAGAATTTTATTTTTTATTTGGAAGATGAAATGCTTCTCTCGTTACCTGCCTTACATCTTCAGACCTCCGAACACCATCCTCTCTTCCAGCTGCCACACGGAAGGTACAGACCAGAGAGGGAGAGTGTCTGGGTGGGTGGCACAGAGTGGGCTGGTGTCTGACTTCCCACAGGTTCTGCTGACGCTGCTTTCTGCAGCTACTAGATGACTGTCGTTCCTGGCAAAAGCTTGTCTCTTTCAGACTTAGATCTGCTCCTAAAATCAGCCTGTCTTGTATAAAGAAGGGAAGTCTTTTCTGAAAAAGCGGGATAATGTTGCAAAGGTGATCTCCAAGCTGACAGCTGGTTAGAAAATAATGCAGAAATATTCTGCCAATTTCCCTTGTTCCATTTAACCTGCAAACAAGTCGTTGGAACTAGTGCTAAGAAAAAAAAAATTCAGTAAGTGCTGCCACATACATTTATCCAAGCTCTCTGTTTTGTCACTGTCTGTTTAATAACTTGGTGCATGCCCAAGAAAGCAATTAGCAAAATAGAATTAGCTTCGTACATGTCTGTGGAGAGTTGATTGTTGGATTGGTTCACTTGGAGTCTGTACTTGGGTTATAGAGCACAGTTCACTTTCAGCACTTACTGGAAATGTTGTTTTGGGGGGTCCTGAGTCAATGCTTTAAAGAGAGGTTGAGCTGAGCCTGGTACACATTCCCTGGTCCCGGGTTTTCTCAGAGACCTCCTCTTCCACCTTCTAACCTGTGTGTGCTATTTGCACACATGTGTGTATGTTCTGTGTACACACGTGTGTGCCTTGTAAACACTCTGGCAGTTCTTCCACTAAGCACTGCAGGCTTCAATATTTCTTTAATCTGTAGCTGGTTGTGCATCTTCTGTATGTGATTTGCCTGTTTCTTTCCAACTGACACATTCTTGAAAAAGAACAATTTCAAGAAAAGCAACTGGCTAGACATTTTTCAGCCTTAGGGACTGTCCTACAAGTGGTACTTTGAGTGAAGAGGGTAGACGATAGTGAGGTGCTGTGACTCCACCTCAGACCCAGCCACTCTCTTCTGGAACAGAGCTGGTGACCAGCCCATGGTGAAAACCCACCCTTGTTTTTTATCCTGAAAGCAGGAACCTGGTGTTGAGGACTGTGTACATAAAATGGGAGAAGCATGCATTATACCATAGGGTGATTTTTTTCAATCAGTATTCCCAAGGAAAAGGGAACAGATGTTCGGGATAACCCTCAAATTGAGACTGAGGATGGTATTTTTCATAGACATTGATATCTCATAGATTTATTTTTACAATTGCATGTTTCCCTTTAAAAATTATATTGGCTGCTAAGTGTAATAACTCACTGGGAATATTTTTTCTTCCTCATGGATGAAAACCTAAGTCCCTACATACGTTGGGGTGAGAGAGGAGAGGACCATTGGCATAGATCAAAATCTCCAGGAGAACTTTCTAAAATACAAAAGGCCTAGGGACACACAGGAAGCTGCATAGATGGCTTTTGTATTTCTGATTGGTTCCCCGTCTTCTCCCAGCCTAGACCGAGAATTCTGTTCAGTTCAGTTGCTGTTTGTATATTAATCAAACTAGATAATCCTACATCATACAAACAAAAACACCACCACAAGAACTTTCATAAAGTATCATTTAAATGCAATTTAACTGATTAGCTCCATCAACATGGAAAGCCCACTTTGTGTCAAAGCAATTTCTACTTCATCCACTGTCAGCAGATGGTGGGGGGGCATGTATTGAAATTTGTTGTAATCATAATAAATACAATGGGTAAGAATAATAACATCTGCCAAACTCATGTCGGGATGAGGCCCTGTGGCTTAGTAGAAAAGGCCCAAGGTAGATACCAGAGAAGCAGGACCACATGTCCGAATTCCTCTAGGCCAATTTCATCCATAATATGGAAGTAAAGACCTTCTCTTATGTATTTGTAGAATTAAATGCGATAAATAATGTTCTTCATAAAGCTCAGCACACGATAGGTACTATCTATTTTTGAGCCTCACATTCCATGTGTTTTCTTTCCTTTTTTAAAATTTTTTGTAATTGTAGATGGACAGAATGCCTTTATTTTATTTGTTTATTTACATGTGGTGATGAGGATCCAACCCAGTGCCTCATGCATGCTAGGCAAGTGCTCTACCACTGAGCTACAGCCCCAGCCCCCATGTGTTTTCTTAAAAAATATTCAAGTTTTCTTTTTTACTTATACCATCTTAAACAATGAGAGGCTTCCTGAAACACATTATTGTGTCACCAAAAACTAGTTACCATACTGAAAGTTTGTCTGAGGAGAAAAAGTTGTTGGAAATGAGTCTGAGTTTATTTTTCGTGTGTGTGTGTGTGTGTGTGTGTGTGTGTGTGTGTGTGTGTGTGATATTCTCTTTATATTGTAAGCAATTATGTGACCCTGGACATGACTCTATTTCAGAAAAGTTACAACTGTGTTCTTCACATTTTATTTAACTGAAAAAATGAAGAATGAATAATTTATGAATATCCCTATGAAAGTCAAATAAATTCAAATGATCCAAATAGTCTCCCTAAGAGTAATTGTAGAACAACTTTAAGAGCTTCACAGTTCCTGGGCTTCTTAGTGGACACACCATCACACTTTGAAGCTTCAGGTTATCATGAGCTTTGACTCCTAAGCTATGCCACTTGCCAACTGGGTGATGTTAGATAGTTGATTAACTTCTCTGAGCCTCGGCTTCCTCATTTGTAAAATACGGGAGAAAAATACTCCTAGGGCAGTTACAAAGAAATACACTCAGAATTTCATACACAAAGTGCTAATAATAATGATGATGAGCAGAGCGTGGTGGCACATGCCTGTAATCCCAGTGGTTTAGGAGGCTGAGACAGAAGGATTGTGAGTTCAAAGCCAGCCTCAGCAACATCGAGGCACTAAGCAATTCAGTGAGACCCTGTGTCTAAAATAATACAAAAAAGACTGGGAATGTGGTTTAGTGTTTGAGTGCCCCTGAGTTCAATCCCTGGTAGTAATAATAATAATAATATTGATGATGATGATCAGCCTTCACTTACATTGATACAATGTCCAAGACATTTTATACAATAACACATTCATATACATTGAAATTAAGAATATGTGTTTCACAAATAGTTCCTTTCCCTGCCCCCTCAGCTCCCAAGCCTGTTTTTTTTATCCATCAGATGGAGATTTGGTTCTTCATATAGCAGCCAGAATGATTTTTAAAAATACGATCATCTTCCCACCCTCCCCCTCAAACATAAACACACATTGAAAATCTCTCCATGGTTTCCCACACCCTACCCAGGCCTGGCTGTTCTGACACCTGTCCACTTCTTACCTAGGCTCAGGCATCTTCCTCCTGCCTGGCCTCCCACTGTGAGAGCCATCATGGGTTCCCCAACATCTCCCTGCAGCCACAGGCTTGTAGGATGCTCCTTTCCCCCTCTACCCTACTACCTCACTAAGTTAGCCTTCAACTCTCAGCTCCAGCTAAGAAAGCCCTGACCCTCAATCAATCACAGCTCTTTAAGAACTGGTTTCTTCACTCAGAGCACGTAAGTCTAGTTTGTCATTATGAATAAACTGATTATTTTATTAATATCTGTCTCCCTGATATGCTGAAAGTTTTGTAGAAGCAGAACCCAAGCATAATTTTACTCTCTACCCCCAGCACTAGAATAATATCAGGTACATAATAGGTACTCCATAAATGCCTATTGTGTGCCTGAATCAAAGGACAACAAGTACCAAGGCTGTATAGATAAATTTTAAAATCATACGTGGAAAACATATCCCAAACATTAACTCCCGTGTAAGTCATCTTAATCATTGTGGGGTGGGGGCTTTGTAACCAGATTTAAGGGGACAGGTCTTATTGATCACAGTGCTCTTCTTCAATTTGAAATAAGAGGATACACACAGAAACAAGGGTAACCGAATAACACTGATACAGGATCGGGGTTTCGAGCAGACAGTTGGGCGATCTTTGCTTCTCTGTGGACCTCGTTAAAGAAGCACATAACTCCTGCCCCCTCGGTGGGAGAGGATTAATCCAGAAAGATTGTTTCAGGATTGGAGGAACAAAATCCCAGCCACAGCCAAAAAGAAACCAATCAAGACAGAACAGAGGGATAGCAAAAACCACAGGAAGGGTAGGGCCCGCGAAGACAAGGAACCTTGCCTGGTGCCTTTTTTGGGGCCTGATTTGGCAGCGGACACTGGAGGGCCCCTTTGTTACATAAGCAGTCAGGAGGGATGCCTTTTCCTAAAGGGTCAAGGGCCATGTCCCTCGCCCTGATTTGTCCTTGTCACATTTTCATCTGCAAACCCCTGCTCACTCTTGAAGACTCCACTCAAGTCTTTCTAGGAAGACTTCTTTAGCAGTTCCAAAGAGGAGGTTGTTATGAGTCACACAAATTACAGTCACAGCCAGGAAGAGGCACCTAGAAGCAGAAGTAGCTGCCACAAAAAAATCCTGTGGACCCCAACTGTGGGCCCAGGGCAGAGCCAGTAGCCTCTGGCTCACTCCTCACCACAGCATCTATCTTAAATGACTCAGATGGAACTTGCTAGTGAGTCAAGTGGCAAAGCCAAGACGCACATCTGAATCATCTGACCCCAACATCAGTGTCCTTTCCCTTCACCACTGCCCACCTTCTAAGCGCTGGTGAGGACAGACCTCAGGTTAGATTGCTACAGTCTGTTTATGCCTGTCTGCAAGGTGGTCAGGAGCCACTTAGACACAGGGATTCTGTTCCATTCATCTTCAGTGGTTTACAAGAGCTCAGCTCTGAGTATATGCTCCAGAAATCCTTTCAAATGAAGTACTGAATGGGAGAGTGAATGAACAGATTCACCCCTCACCTATCAGTAAGGATCTTGGCCAGGAGGAAACCTCTTGGAGCAGAATATCTTTCCATTACACCCAAAAGGAGGCTTGCTGAACATCTACACATGTGCATACACATGCACACACACAGGGGAAAGAACACCACGTTTTTCTAACTATTATGTTATAATAATAATAATAATAATAATAATAACAATACAAAAATAAGAAAAAAAACATTTGGTGCTTACT